CATGTCAACACTTCAAGTAGGATTCGAACCATGACAATGCAGCATGTAAGTTCGACACGTTAACCACTGTGGCAATATGGCAGTGGCCGTGTTGAGCTTACATGATGCACTGTCATGGTCGAATTCTCGCTTGGGGTGGGAACTGCAGTCCATCTTGGAAAAGGACACCTTTTGTGAAAACAGGAGTTTGAACTAACGGAAATATCAGTGGAAAAAATTAACTACCATTTCTTCATCACCTTAAACGAAATAGGGTGAGCACAAGCATATGTTATAAATTATGCAAATATTTATATAGGACCAAAAAGTACCTTCTTCTTTACATGCTCATTGTCCACATCTGCTTCTACTGGGGCAATAGGCTGGGTTTGATTCTGATTTGTATCAACTGTGGTAATTTGGATGGAAAGACCAGTAGGTGGCACTGGAACATAGAGGTTGCGACTCCTATCCCAAAAGAAATATTGCGAACTGGCTCTATCAAAAAAATAAGTCGAATTGGTATCATAAAGGAGACCAGTGACAGGGTCATAATAGTAGCGAGTATTCTCATCGTAGATGAATCTTGATGTATCCGGATGAGCTAAAGTATAAATTAGAGGTAGCTTGAATATATATACGCCTAAAAAAATCGGATGGTTGAATGATCACTCACGATATAATGTAGTCGCACAAGTTGCTGCCGAGAATGGTATGGTTGGGACAGGAAGAGTTGGGAGTTGAACAGACGCACTCGTGGGACTAGATGTGGACTTAAATGATGAGGGAACGTGATCAGTTCCATGTACAACAGCAGCAATTTGCTGTTGATATTGCTTTGCTTTTTCTTCCACTAGTTGTTGCTGCTGTAGCTGTGAAAGCTGTGCGGTTTGTGCTTGCTGTGAAACGTGTGGATTTAACAAGGCGGATGCAGCAACAGCATTTATGGCCAACGTAGTGGTGGACACAGGAGCATTATTTGCAGCATGCAAAGCAGCAACCTGTGCTAGCTCCAAAGTTAGGCCTCGAGATGATGCGAGCTGGGCGTTATATGAGCCCTCAGCTTTGAGAGAGGCCATTATTGTGCTACAAAGATGCAATATGTTAGAGGGATGGATAACAAGAGGGATAGTAACGAGCTAACTTACTTGTAAGTATTCTTAGCGTAGTTGACTGTCACGGCTTTACCACCCATTTCAAAAATTTGATCCGACTTTCCTATCGAATCGATTATTTTGTAGGCGTCTGCGACAGTGGGGAGCTCCACAAAGGCATAGCAACGCGAGGTGAGAGTAATTTCGTCTCGCATGACGTGACACTGACGAACCTTAACATCCATCTTATTTTGAAAAAGGTTCGAAATATCATCTTCTCTTGTCAATGCGTCCAAGCATCTAATAATTAGAGCTGTGAGGCGAAAGAGAATGAAGTTAAGATTGACCATAACGGAGTCCCCTTGGATTTTTAGAATACAATTAACCAAAATATCTTTGGAGCGATAAAAATGAACCTTTTAGCAAAAATATAGTGTACGTTTGATGCGGATAAGGAACAATATTTGACAATTTTGATGAAAAATATTAGCATTGTCCTGTTCATCGATCTAGGAGCAAAACTGCGCATCCATATTCCTTCGAATAGTACCACTACCGGGGGGGAAAATAGAAATCGCATTGGGAAAGATTACGAGCACTGCGGATGTTAACTAAATTACAAGGCAAATTGGTGACAAGGCTAGAAATGGACAGCTTCACATAGAGCAAAAAATCACAGCAAATCTTCATTTAACAAAAGTAGTGGAATAAATCGCAATTCATCGAATCGATAAGATAACAAAAAGCTATTCAAATTATCTTTGACAGGTCAATAGAGTTGGAAATTCAATTCATGGCAAATAAATTTCCTCTATCCCCATTTTTAAAACGATTGATCCTGTTGTTGATAAAATCAATAATCTACTCACACAAAAATTAGTGGAAAGCAGGTTGAAACTTCATTTAGGCAAAAATACAATCCGAATGAACTAGTAGCAAAAACAAAGCATGACCTAAATATTAAAGTCTTATGATCGTGGCAAAAAGCTCCCAGGTAGCATGAAGGCTATTGGAAAAGTTAAAATAAATGGAGATAAAGTTAATAAAAAGCATTAAAGTAGCTTGGCTCATTCTAG